TGTTCTTCTGCGGACAGTCTCTCGCCAAGTGCCATTGGCCCTTGCAGTTGTAACATTGGATAATTGACTTATCTTTCTTATCCAAGTGCTTGCTATTTGATGGCCTTCCACTGTCACTCGAATCTCTGTCGGATCTGGATGCCCTGTCCCTATCACCACTGCTGCCTCAAAACTTTGGCTTTGGTTTGGAGTCCACACTCTTGACGCCAAGCTCAATGACTGACTCGGCTGTCGTCAAGGCAGTTGAGAGATCCTTGACCCCTCGTCGCCTTAGCTCGTTCTTCGCCCATGGTTTTAGCCCACCCATGAAGGTGAAGAACCCGTCCTCTTCACTTAAACTCGGGACTTGGAGACTTACTTCGACAAACTTTCGAACATGATCCCTCAATGACCCTTCTTGCTTGAGACGCCTTAACTTGAACCGCGCCTCATCTTCGGAATACTCCGGGTAGAATTGTTCCTTGAACTCCGCGTGGAACTCCTATCATGTTGCGATGGGAGCGGTGCCACGCTTCACATCGTTGCATCTACGTCGCCACCACATGAGGGCAACCTCGGACAAGTAAACGCTAGCGATGCTTACTTTCTTGGCATCCTTTGTGATGCCCATGGCCGCAAAGTATTGGTCTAGCCCCCAAAAGAAATTCTCGACATCTTAGGCTGACATGGACCCTTTGAACTTCTCCGGCTTAGGGATGTTGCCCAAGGCTTTGGGTGCAACCGTGGCTGCGCTATTTCCGAATGCAGCTTTGCGCACTAACAACTCGGTCTTGAGCAACTCGACCTCCCTCTTTAACGTTGCCACCTCAGAATCGGAACCCTCGCTCTTGAGTTCCTCGACTTCCTTCCTTAAAGCTACTACCATGGCTTCCAAGGAATTACCTCGATCCATTGTCTTCACATCCAACCCATTGAGTGAATCCTGAACATCATCCTTAATAGAATCCAAGGATTCTAGTTTATCGAGATCCAACGATCCCAGCCTTTCAAGGTCTACGGACTCTAGCGTGTCCAGCACTCTCTGGGCATCCGCCATGGATCCTTCGAGCCTGGTAACCTTCTCTTAGAGGGATGCGAGAACATCTCTCGATAGTGCCCTCTTCTTTCCAGCATTTCGGGATTCATTTCCATCGGAACCTCCCACATCACCATGTTGTGGTGCCATCTCAGTTAGCAAAATAAATTGAACGAGTTATGAGTAAACAGAACTAACCCGGTTTCGTACCTTCCACCAAACTCGGTCGAAATGATCGTTGCTTACCCACAACGACACGCTCTGATACCACTTGTCACGGGGCTAGACTGCTGCTAGCAAGCTCGTGCGGCCTTAGACGTTTTCAAGGTCGAAAATCGACTAAGTGACCCGAACCTTCACTAAGCTAGAATGCTTAGAACGTTGGAAATCCCAAAGGAAATGGGGAAACAAAGAGATAGTCGCACAAAGGAAGAAGAGAGATTTGAGAGTGAATACTAGTTTGTATTTCTCAACTTGAGGTGTGTAAATGAAAGGGGGTGAGCCTCCTTTTATAGTTGGAGTCCCCTACAATGAACGGTTGGGATTAAAATACATCAATGGCTAAGATGAGAGCTCTACACTATTTACAACAAGTGGGCAATGAGTTGGCATCATTATCTTCTAAGATAATGCTAAACAATTATCATGTCTCCAAGATGGATTGGGTCAGCTCACTTGGGTCTTCTAGAAGGCCCAGAATGTGGCAAAGATAGTCCCTGGCAGCCTGGAATGAGTTTAGCTCGGTCATGGGCTGGCGGTCCGTGACACAATGCATCAAAATGTTCCTCTGGCTGGTTGCTAAAAGCAGAATAATGACAAACAGCAAAAGAGTCAGGTGACACTTGGCATCGAATGCGAGCTGTGGGGAGTGTGGAGGAATAGAGGAAACGATAAACCATATCCTTAGGTAAGTGCCCCAAAACAGCAGAAATATAGAGAGGCTTGATCAAACCAAGGAAGCAACTGGAGTTTATGAGTATGGAAATCGAAGATTGGATTCGAATTAATCTCGACGATCCAGGGTACTTCGCAATAGAGGAAACAGATTAGGACATATTATTCGAATCCATTTTATGGACACTATGGCTGCGATGGAACGCTTGCACTTTTGATCCAAAAAACATTGGAGTAGAGAGCGTCATGGACTGCAGTCGACGCATGCAGAAAGATAGCCAAGCAGTGATATTATCAGCAAAAGGAAACAGTGCGAATATTATTTGCTTGTTAAATCTTTGATCCAATGGATTTATTGTTGTTAATTTGGTTGTGTTATATTTATTTTCGTGTAAAATCTTACTTTTTAGGATTAGCAGTAAAAAGGGCGCATTTTGTATTTTTTTTATTATTTGGTCAAGGTTGGAGATATAAGCACGACTATGGGCATGACACGGTTTGACGTGACAGTTTCTAGAAGGTTCAGTCAGCAGTAATTTTCCTAAAAAATCTAATCAGCGCCTTTTGGAATATGGACGAGCAAAGATATCTTAAGATATTTATTTTTAATTTTAAAGTTTGAATTTAGAAAATGTTTAGAATTATCATTAGGATTATTTTTCTTTTAATTTCTATGTTTATCTTTAGGATTTTAGAGGCTATAAATATCCTCTTGAGGTAAGTCTAAAAACACAACTCATATTTCATAAGTCGGGAGCTTAGGCGATGACTCAATTCCAACGTGAGAATTAAAAAACACTTGAATAACTTCGAAATATCTCTCTCAATCTCTACGCTTATTTTCAAAATCAAAGATTTAATTTAGTCAAGTTGCAATTAAACGTGTGAGAGAAAAAATGGCTTATTGAAAGCACATTCGACTTCCTGGGAACACACTTGGCGAGATTATCTTGTCAAGAGGGAATTGAGATCGGAATTAGTAGTTATTGAAACAACAATCCGAGTCGGTCTTCATGAACTTAAACGGTTATTGATCTACGACAGTTGATGTTGATCAGATCAATTTTCGAAGCTGGAATCAAAGACTGCCTTGGATGTTCGGTATACAAAGAAGAGTCACGAGGATTGTCATTGTAGGCCAAGTAATTGACGTGAATCCCGAAGGAAAAATCTAATTCAATGATCCGAAGGAAATTGAGTCAAAATGAGGCTTGAGGTTGTTTTTACCATATTCATTTTCAACTTTACATTTTTTTTACTTTAAATCATTTTTTATTATTTAATCATTTTTATCAAAACCTTCTTTTTATCTACTACTTATCGTCTGGTTTAAATAATTCAAACATAAATTTAGAAATTTTCTAAGTTCATGTAGCTCGACTTTTACTTATCTTCACTACGTATTTCCTTTATTTATTAATTGAAAAGAATGAATTTATTTTGACATCAAAATGACAGTTGTCAAAAGAAGACCCAAAGTCACCAAGAAACAAAGAAATAGACAGCTCCCCAAGTTGGCTGGTGCAAATTGAATACGGATGGTGCACGTAACAACAATACGAGTTTCACATCATGTGGAGGAGTCATCCGTAATTGGAAAGGTAAATGGATAACAAGATTCTTTAGATCTATCAGAATATGCTCAGTAATGGAAGCAGAACTTTGGGGAGTGTATGAAGGGTTATGACAATCATGGAGAATAGGAGAAAAGAAGGTAACTGTAAAAGTGGATAGCATGGAGGTGGCTAATAGACTCCAAGGGAAACAAAAAAAGGAAGTGAACATCACATTGCTGCAGAAAATATTCGAGTTAATGGAAAGAGATTGGACGGTAGTAATTAATCATGTTAGTCGTGAAGAAAACAAAGTGGCTGATAGCCTTGCCAAAATCACCAACTCCGAACCATATAGTACCGAGTTATCCTGGATCCTCCGATAGAATCGTTAAATTTCTTGTTTTTAGATAGTAACGTCTCCTGACATTAAATTGTAGTTGGGTACTTTATCTCCTCCTTTTCACAAAAAAAAAATTATTATATATTTAAATGGATAATTTTCTTCTTCTTCAAGTAGAAGATATTTACTTTTGACATTTTTGTTGTAATTTGTCGTTTAGCCGCCATAATTGATGTTAAAAAATAATTAAAGTTAGAAGATAATATTTTATATTCAAATGGATAATTTTGTTCTGGTTCATGTAAAAGATATTTTACTTCGACATTTTTATTGTAATTTGTCGTTTTTCCGCCACTAGGTTTATTTTTTATAATAAAATTAAGTTATAAAATAAGATTTAAATAATTCAAATAAATAAAAAAATTAATAATTAATAACTTTATTTTTAAAGTCGAGCATCTTAATTATATATATATATATATGAAAAAGAAGAATATGTATGTGTATGGTAAATAGTTATTGCAATATTCAATTTTCGTCGGACGTGTCCTTTTCTAGGTCTCATTATTATTTTGAATTCGCGTATTATTTAGATATTTGGATTAATTATTTCACCGAATCTTGTAAGTAAGTGGATTTTTATTTTAAATTTTGGCTTAAATTTTAATTTTTCCTATTAATATAACATATAACTCTGTTGGTACAATGGCATTGGAGGGTGTTAATCATTTCTCACATGCAACCAACATACGAACCTTTTTAAGTTGGTAAGATGCACATCAGGTAAAAAAATAATTTTAGGTATCCAACTCTCTTAATCCAGAAGATTGGTAGCGATTCTAAAAAGGTTAAATCATTAATTTAAGTCGATTCAATCTTGGGCTCTCGAAGATTTTTCCGACTGCTATAGAAAATTATTTAAATTGAAATTAAATATTACCATAACAATAAAAATATTTATAATTAAATTTAAATAAAAACTTAAACAATTCGAGTCGAATATCATAAATTTATCTAAAAATATTTTAAAAGAAATTTAAATTATAAAATAAAACTCATCAACTCCGCTAAGTCGAAATTGTTTTTATTCTGATTCATCACAACAACCGAATATTCACCCCTAATTTCAGGGCTGATGCAAGGTTATAAAATAATACGGCTTAGTATATATGAAGGTAGTCCACAATAGAAAGATGAATCGGTGGTAAGGACAACCAAAGAAGATGGATGTCTTAAGTTCGTTGCTGTGCTTTGTTCTGTTCGTGGTCTTGTTTCAAGCCTTTCGAAGGAAATCGGGAAGAACAGACAAGCTTCCGCCCGGTCCGCCTCCGATTCCGATCTTCGGGAACCTCTTCCAGCTTGGTGATAAGCCCCATAAGGCCCTTGCCAAACTTGCCAAGATTCATGGCGACAGTATGACTTTGAAACTTGGCCAAACAACTACTATAGTAATTTCGTCTGCAACAATGGCCAAAGAAATCCTCCAAACGCATGACGCCATATCGTGTAACCGAACCATTCCCGATGCCCTTCATGCCCTTCAACACCACGAAACCGGATTGCCTTGGATGCCTGTTTCAACCACATGGAGAAACCTTCGGAAAATCTGCAATTTGCACATTTTCTCTGCTCACAAACTCGACGCTAACCGGTACTTGCGGCACAGCAAAATAGAACAACTCCTCGCCGGTGTTCGTGATAGTTCCCGAATCGGAGAAGCGATTGACATAAGCACAATTGTTTTAAAAACAATGCTTAATCTTATGTCCAATACTATTTTTTCCATTGATTTAGCGGACTCTTCTGATACAGCTCTGGAATTCGGAGAAATTATAGAGGGTATCAAGAAAGAGTTGGGAAAACCAAATTTTTGTGATTATTTCCCTACTCTTCTTGGTAACCTTGACTTGCAAGGCATAAGGCGTCGGATGACTAATCATTTTGGGAAGTTGATGATTCTTTTCGATGATTTGATCGATAAGCGGTTGGAGTCGAGAACCATGAATGATTCTATATCAACTAATGATCTATTGGATATTCTTCTCCAAATCAGTGAAGATGACAACCAAGAGCTTGATAGAAATCAGATCAAACATTTGATTTTGGTGGCTAAATTTGTCTCTTTTCAGTCTCTTAATTGTTTACCTCTTACTATTGAAGTTTCATGTCCATAACTTGGTGAGAATTTGTTTTGAAACAGGATTTGTTCACAGCGGGAACGGAGACAACAACTAGTACTTTGGAATGGGCAATGGCGGAATTACTCCATAACCCGAAAACTTTACTTGATGCCCGAAGAGAACTGCAACAAAAAATTGGCCAAGGGAAGATGGTGGATGAATCCGACGATACTTTTTTACCTTATTTGCAAGCAATTGTCAAGGAAACGTTGAGATTGCATCCTCCAGTTCCTTTCTTACTCCCTCGAAAAGCTGAAGCCGATATCGAGATTCATGAGTTCGTGGTTCCGAAGGGCGCACAGGTGTTGATCAACGCATGGGCTATAGGCAGAGATCCCAATTGCTGGGACGAACCTGAGTTGTTTCTTCCAGAGAGGTTAATGAGATCAGAAGTGGATGTTAAAGGAAGGGACTTTGAACTCATTCCATTCGGGGGTGGGCGACGAATTTGCCCTGGATTGCCATTAGCCATGAGGATGTTGCACCTGGTGTTGGGTACCCTTATTCACTCATTTGATTGGGAGCTTGAAGATGGAGTTACACCTCAAAACATGAACATGGATGATGCCTTTGGCCTTGTTTTACAGAAAGCTCGACGATTAAGAGTTATCCCACGTTTAATTTGATACTGTTTTGTTTATTTGCTCTTGTTATCCAAATTAATTAGTGAAGATAAATAAAGAAACTTGGATTTGCTTTGGAACGCCTCTACTTGTACATCAAAAGATTGTGAGAATCCATTATGAACACACCCAATTTCAAGATAGATTTTGGCTATGTTAAATGGTTAAGAGAGAGGTGTGATCCAACCATGGTGGACATAGGGTCTTGCCCTTGAAATTTCAAGGTTTTATATAAATCAGGATCCACAATGTAGATTGTGGCTACGTAAAATAAATTTAACTCGTACTTGATTATCCAACCAAATGACTCAACTCGAAACCTATATAGACCCGAATATGAGTGCTTATCAAGCGAGTCGATTGTAAGTTGGATAGTGCTCGACTCGTGCTCGTTAAAAAATTTGTTTGCTGACTCGACTTGTTACTCGTTTAAAATTTTGCTCGAGTCATGCTCGTTAAAAAAATTAGTTGCTCGACTCATTACTCGTTAAGCTCACTAAAATTTTTACCTTATTTTCTTAACTATAAGTAAAATCAAATAATACTATATAGAACTTAATATAAACATAATTAAATAAATTTAACAAAAAAATTTATCAAAAAGAGTGTAATAAACATTTATTACAAACATACCAATAAACCATTAAATGTTATATAAAATAGTGATGTTACAAAACATGATATTAATTTTAGCGTTCAAAATTTATATAGTCTATCAATTTGGTATTAACTTGAAACATTTCAATAAATTTAATCATTTATATTTAAAATCTCTCATCATTTTAGTCTATTCTTCTTTTAAATGCTTGTTTTTCTCCCATAAATATTATGTTCCTTCCATGTTATTTTCTTAGTACAATAACAATTTAAATGTAACTTGTTGCTTCTTTATGATAGAATGGAGTTATCCAACTACTTTTTCAATACGATAAGATCGCTTGGATTTACAGTATTATAAAAAGACTAAATTGATAAAATTATTAAATTTAAGAGGCTAAATTTATTGAATTATTTCAAATTATAATAAAATTGACAATTTATAAGTTTTAGGATTAAAAATCTCATTTTATCATTTATATTTAAAAAAGTTAACTTTTTTAAAATTTCTTCTTTTTTAGATTATTTGTTATTCTCTCATAAATGTTATATTACGTCAATGAGTGTTAACGCAAGTGATTAGAATTCATGAATTTGAGTTTGTATGACTAAGTTTAAATCCTACCACCGTTACTCTTGATGGATAATCGGTAAATTCCTATAATTGAGGGAGCTACTATTGACTTGACTTTTTTGAATCTATTTATAATAATAAATGTTATATTACTTTCATATTACTTTTTTAATAAATTTTACTTCTTTACCATAGAATAGAGTTATCTAACTATTATTTGATATGACAAGCTCGCTTGATTTTATAGTGTCATAAGAAATACTAAATTTATGAAGCTTTTAAATATTAAGAATTAAATTTATTAAATTATTTTAAATTAAGAAAATTATAAATTTTGATTAAATAACTCATTTAAAACTTTAGAAAATACCTTAATTGTTTAAAACTATAACTAAATAATTTGAATTCTATTTTACATATAAAAAAATATTTTTACCCAAATATTTTGCATAATTTGATATGGAACATGAGCCACTTAAGAAGTATCTGGAAAGCGGGCTAAGTCACGACTCTCGACGAACTGCACCTTCACCTAACCATTTGGTCCGTGTCAGTAAAAGAACAACCATACTAAAGCAATGGCATTTTTGAGGTCGCTGACCCCAGCAACTGCCATAGCCGCTGCCTCTGCTCTGCCCACGGCCTTCTCTTTCTCTTCTTCTTCTTCTTCATCCTCCTGCAAATCCTCTCGTCTTCCCAATACCAAAAGCCTACCTTTCCTCTCTTCACCACCCAATCGCTTAGGCCTTACAAGGAACTTCACCCCTTCTCCCACTGCTCTTAACATGGATTCTCCCCCATCTTATCACAACCCATCTCAGGTTTGCTACTGAATTTCCAATTTTGAGCACTTCCAATTTCTTTTCACATCAAATCTATTATCTTTAACTATGCTTGATCCTTTCTATCTTGAATTTGCAGGAAAGCGGGTCCTGCCTGACGTTCTTGTAAGTTTACATCTTGATTAATCTAATTCATGTACATAGCTTATTCTCCTATAAATTGAGTTTTCCCCCTATTTTTGCATTCTCGTGAATTGGATGCTTATTGTTGATTAATCCTTATATTTTGTTGATATGCTAAAAATTTTGGGTCTTTTATTTTGGTATCAGACTGAGTATATGGTGGATATGAAGTGTGAAGGTTGTGTTAATGCGGTCAAGAATAAGTTACAAACAATTGATGGTAAGGCAACAGTAATAATTTTGTGCATGATTTATCTTTCTAGGCTTTTAAAGGATATTCTCTGAATGTTGTTTCATTTGGTGTTTATTTTTGTTCATAAAAACAAAGGAATCAAAAGTGTGGAAGCGGACTTGAGCAATCAAGTGGTGAGAATACTTGGTTCTTCGCCTGTGAAAACCATGACCGAAGCGTTCGAGCAGATTGGTCGAAATGCTAGATTAATAGGCCAAGGCGTGCCGGAAGGTTTGTCGAATCTAACTTGCTTTTATGTTGGGTTTATTAGCTCATATATTTGTTGATTGCCCACATTTATGCATGTTGGTGTCAAACAGAAAGGGAAGTCGTAGTTTTCATTGGAATTTTATAATTTATGTTGCAGCCTGTTCCTTGGTTTACTATATTATTCCAAAGAAGGATGCTGAGCTATGCTATGACATAACAAAATTTATGCTCAGTTTAGCTTCTTGAGGGAACTCCCTGAAATTTAGAAATGTTCTGTTAGTTGCTATAATTATTTGTAGGACTACTTAAATGGTTCCATTTCTAAATAAATTGACCAGAAACTGCCTCCTATCCATTCTTTGGCAATCAGTTCAGTTAGAGCTTTCAATGAATAAATAATGAGTTAGTATTTACTTAAAGATTTTAAAGAGGCTTCTTTGAAACACATTTCTGAGCATGCTATGCTGTTCATGCCATGGAATAAATTCTCCACCTCTTATCAGCAGATAAACAACAATTTCTCAAATTATTACCTTGTACTTGTGCAGACATTTTAGTTTCTGCAGCTGTTGCTGAGTTCAAAGGCCCCAAAATTTTTGGTGTAGTTCGATTGGCTCAAGTGAGTATGGAACTGGCTAGGATTGAAGCCAATTTTAGTGGTTTGTCACCAGGAAAACACGGTTGGTCAATTAATGAATTCGGTGATCTAACAAGAGGTGCTGCCAGTACAGGGAAAGTGTTTAATCCACCAAATGGAGGAACTGCTAAAGAGGTTCTTTTCCCAACTTTAGTCCTGGATTTCATGTATCTTTTTCTTACCTAAATAATCATACGCTCTCCCTTTTTATGTGTTGTATATATCACTTTCATACTCCCTCTTTGTGTGTGTATGTTGTAAGCTCATTTAATAACCATGAAGTGCACGTATGATATTCAAAGTACCACTTACCTTTGTTAAAGATGGACTTACTGGTTGATGAACCTCTTAGTGCTATCTGATCTGGACAACTAAAAGGAAGGGAGTGGTCGAGTGCTGGCTTAAAATTATTTTCAAATTATTTACTATGTTGGTGCTACTTCCATAAATTTTTTAATTTCCATAATGACTGAAAATATGTTTAAAAAACCCAATTGTTCTGATCTTGTCCTGCAGACTTCTTTGCTGAGAAACTGAATGAAACAGGAAAAGTTGTGGAAGATTATTCTTTTCTGTAAAGGAGTTGATACTCATATTTAACCGATTCGTATAGCTTTGTCTCAACAGTTATGTGCATATGGACACCTTGATTGGACCGTTTCAAATTGTGTTCTCTCTTGAAGGATTTTCCCTTATGGAATGTTTTCTCTTTTGTTTTATATTTTTTTATTATAAGCCTGCATCTCGATGTCCATTCTTTCATACCATCATGTTTACTTTTCATTCTCTTCTCAAAAAAAATGTTTACTTTTCATTCCTTACTCTTGTCCTTGCTTTTCAGCCGATTGGCGACCTGGGAACATTAGATGTGGATGAGAATGGTGAGGCTTTTAAGACTTGTGTCAAACAGCAACTCAGAGTTGGCGATCTCATCGGGCGGTCGATAGCTGTATATGAGACTGAAGATAGATCAGATCCAGGTCTGACAGCTGCAGTGATTGCCCGAAGTGCTGGAGTAGGGGAAAACTACAAGAAGATATGTGCATGTGATGGCACCACCATCTGGGAAGCCACTGACAAAGATTTTGTCACTAGTAAGGTCTGAGGATTTATGGAAGTAAGTTATATGTACTTGTAGTCGCACTTTGTATGCTACTAGCATTCTTATTTACATAGTTTCTTGCCGTCTTAATGACTTATAAGAACGATCTGAGAAACAGAGTGAAAAGCTCTACAATAAAATTGATGATTACTAAGCTTTATTATTATTATTATTATTTTGAATAGTCTGAGGTGATTAGAAGGTAATATCTGTTTAAAATTTTCTTAACTAATTGACAACTTCATGTTTTTTTTCTTGATTGATGAAAGCTTGTATTACCCAAGATGCTTGAAAACTGGTGATATTATCTAAAATAATTCGACCATAACTTGTCCGTTAACTAAGTTTAAGTTATTCCTCCACAATAGTTATAGATAACAGTAACCAACACAATATTTATTAAATTGAAAATGGAATGGCTCGTTAGGGCAGAGCATTTAGCATTAAAGGATTTAACTTATCTGTCATGATCCCCGGAGAAAAAGGGAATAAATCGAACAAATTAGGGATTAGCAGTAAAAGAGAATTAGGGTAAATGAAGAAGGGAATTGATTTAGAAAAACGAGCAAAAGGGAAATTCCTTTTAAAAATATTTAACTATTTATTGAGTTGAATATTTTTGGGCATACCAAATATTGATATTTCATTAGTTTTTTTTTTTTAATTTAGGGTGATTATATCTGTTTTTGAAATTCTTCACCATATGATAATGAAACCTCAAATATTCTTGTAGTCTCAGGTTTTCAAACTTGAGACTTCTAGTGATAACAATCATCCTTTTAACCACTGAGATAGATTGAATTCATTTATTAGTTGGTAATAAAAATCACTCCACCAGAGAAAACCATTAATAAATGGGTATAATTGATTTTTTTTTTAAATTAATGCAAGAGTATTGATTTTGTGCAAATTAGTGGCACGCGTAATTGATTGTTTCCATTTTTCACTAATAAGATACTTTTAAAAGGGAAAATGAAATCAAAAAGTTTAAAACCATTGTATTCGATATAAAAAGAATGAAAACTATAATATTGCTACAAACAAACTCTTCTTTGAAAACTAATTTCAAGGATTTATGTACCTATGCAACAAAATATAGAAGGACAAAGAAAGAAAAACAGGGACACTGTCTTAGGGAATCCTACACCGTCATATTTCGGGAATGGTCTCCAATTTGGGACACTGAGAATGTTTTTGGTGAGATGCTTGTGCCAGTATTTGCATGGATCTAATGTCCTTCACCAGTTTCTTTTCAAGTTGGTATTCAACGAAATATTTTTTACTAAGGTTTTCTGTTCTCAATGTTTTGAGAAATGGATGAGGAAACCTTTTGTAAACATCTTGGACATATATCAAGTTGATAAAAATATTAAGACTATTCTATAATTAGCCTATGCTCAAATAACTTGACATATGTTGTAACAATTATATTTTGAGCGATTGCTGAATTTCAAAATTTTCAAGTGTTAATTAACCAGTAAACTTTAAAAAAAAGTAGTAATAAAACATATGGGAATAAAAAGGTTCTAAAATTATAGAATTATTATGAGAAACAGTGATAGAATCTAGGCATGAAACTTAAAATGAATTACATTGATGATTTGTTTTCTATTACCTAAACACTGAAAAATCAGGGCAATATTTTCCGACAAATCAATTACAATAAAACAAACAGATCATAAGTTTAAACTCCAACACATAGGAATTCTTGCCATTAATATTCCATTATTCAGTCCAATTAATTTGTAATACCATTCTCAGCTTTAACAAAAACTGAAAACATTACGCACCTATTAATTATTGATACCATTCACATGGACAAACGTAAGATTATAAATACAAAATACAAAAAAAATATATATGAGAATTTAGAATTTTGATGATACGACTGTACTCTCAATCCACCATCAGAGATCCATCACCAGAAATCTATCAATTTGTTGATGACTTGCTTTCATTTACTAATTTCTTTAACGATGGCTTGATGAAGTCTCATACCTCCCTTCCATTTTCCACTCCACACCTCATACAAACCAAAATAAAGTCTCATGTCTGGTTGTAGTTGACCAGAATCCACAGTGAACGAGTCTTCATTGCTTGGAACATCCGTGGGTTCCTCGAACAAGTTGTCTATTTCCTTGAGTTTTCTGCACTTGTACTTGCCTTTCTTCCCTACCTTAGCCATCAAGAAAACCGGCGCCCCACTCCAACCAAATGCATTTCTGTTGAAGCTAAGTGTGAAGCTGATTTCATACGTCGTTAATGGCTCTACTTGGCATGAACCCGTCACTTCTAGCCACGATACCTGTACCAGCTCCGCGGCTTCTTCCCTGTTTATTACCATGATTCAATATTCATCGAAGAATTTCTCAGTAATGAAAAATAAATAAATAAGAGGGCTTATTCTTACTCGGACAGTGGCGCAAATGAGCGAGGAGGATTAGGAATGCGCCAATAACGGCTGTCATTTCCCCAAACAATGTTAAAAGCTCTGGGTTTAAATGTGATAACATCTTTATTATCCTGCGACATTGGATTCCAAAACATAATGAAAAAAGTATTTTCCTGGTAACCAAACAGCATGTGAGAAGCTTGTTGATACTACTATGTACTTACGACAGTTTTTTCCTTGATGATAGAATTGTTATCTGCTTCTTGATGAGGCTTGCTAGCCATTGTGAAGATGAAGGATTTGTTATGTTTTGAAATGAAATGTGAGCCCTAATTTTATATAGTGCAAAAAAGATGAAGGGTTTTGAGGGTGGTGGTAGCAAGGAATTTTATTTTTCCTTCTGCTTTTTGCTCAATTCTTGAATACGACACCTCAAAGCAAAGCATACTCAAACAAAATAGAAAACGAAAAGAATCTAAACTTTTCTTTAAATTTTTTGAAAGAACCGTATATGATACTTCATTCTCTTTTTTTATTCTTCCAACTATACCAAACTATGGTTTATTTCAAGGATGGACTGAAAGAAGACGGGTGACGGTAGTCGTTATCCTTAAAATTTTAAATTAGTATATGTTTTAGATATTTTCTTTGTATTTTCAATTGATAATCTGTTTCCACTCATTAGAATTTTATAAGTTCACTCTTCTTAAAATTTTACTTTTTTTCCAACATATTTTTATTAATAATGACAAAACCATTAAAAACAAAATTATTGCATGAAGGTACAAAACTAACCAACTTGATTAACACTAAAAAAAACGCCAAAAAATACTTCTATGGGAGAAAGTCATTATGCCAAAAAAAAAACAACTCGACAAACCATCATAGGATACAACATAAGAGTGACTCATAAATCAAAAGGAAAAAAGTATTATCATAAGATATAAAAATTTATATTATTAATATATATGTATTCACCTTAAAAAATATTTTTAAACGAGATATTAAATTCATGTTTATCATTAAGATGTTTGCATGCATGTATATCTTTGTCACTCGATTTTGAGCCACACATTCACACCATATGCAAAGAATTTAGTTTTTGATGCCTTTGGCAATTACGTGTGGATTGCAGGAGGTGGCCATGAATCTATATATCATCAATTTGAGAACTTGATGCCACCAATTGGTAGGAAAGGAATAAAGTTAAAATATTTTATATATTCCTACTCTCAGCCATTTGACTTACAGTTGTTTGGCACCTGAACTTGGATACAAGATTATAGCAACTCAATACTTCAATCGTACAATAAAACTGTGTGCTATAGCAAATTCAGGTGCCTCTGAATTCCCCAGCTTGGAGAATGAAGTTCTGAAAACTCGGAGTTCAATTTCTTGAGGAATTCTCATGTGGCCTACAAGGACAAATCATGTTGATCAACTTGCATAGTTGAGCTATCATTTGATGTTTACGAAACATCATACGTTAAATGCAGTGACGGAATCATATGGGACGGAACATCTCAACTTTTATGGTTTAATTGTATTTTAAGTCCTTAAAGTTTTAAAACCGTTAAAATTAAGTCTTGAACTTCTAAAATTTTATGGTTTAATTATTTTTTAAGATATTATCAGTTTTAAAGTTAAATGAAATTAGGTATTGTCTCCAACTTTTTTTGTTTAATTACTTTTTAGGACATGACAATTTTGAAATTAGTGAAATTAAGTCTCAATCATCTATTTCTGAGGTTTCATAACCTTCTAGAACCTTGTTAATTTCAAAGATAAGCAACTTGGCCCTCCTATATTTTCATCCTAGTTCCGCCCTTGGTTAAATAGCAACCTTATCACTGAATTGGACAAAATGTTAAATCATACAATAATGGTGTTGGTTTGATTAAGCATAACACGAGTATGGAATTATTATGTTAGCCTTGCTAGTCAAAGAAATTGACCTTAATTGGCTAAAATTACTTTAAAATGACTGTAGTAACTTATAGAAAGCGACTCCAAATGCATAATTGGATTTGTGATTGTTTAGGCATGATCAATTGTGAATTGAGTGTTATGAAGGTTGATTAAGTTGTATTTTGACATTTTTTTTATGTTTCAAGTATGTTTATTAACAATACAAACTAATAAGAATTAGATTATTAGCTCAATTATGCATGATTAAAGTGAATTTTAATACTTTTCAGGAAAAAAATTGATCGCTTGAATTTTGATTCATGCGAAGATATTATATTTAAAATTCTCAAAATTTAGTTTTTATCTTATGGTAATTAAATAAGTCGACTAATCATAATCTCCATCATCAGAAATAACGTAAATGAACTGATGATTTTGGAGGGACTTAAATGCTTAACTTATTTTATGTATGAAAAGGGGAAAGGGGTAACTAATATATAGAGCTAGCTTGCTTCCATAGGTGGCGGGTGGAGTGGAAGCAAAACAAGAAAAGGCAACAATTCTAAAGACGGCTGACCGAGTGTTTTACCGAAAATTTTAAAAAAAAATAATAATATTTTCAATAAAATCTTTCTTTAACCATATATTAAGGTTACTGTAACTAAGATATCCCCGTTAACCGAGCGGAAGCACATGAAGAAAGAATAAAGAGATGATTGATCAATAGATACGAAGCGATAGAGGCTTAGGTCTGAATAGTCAACGACAATTGGAAATAAAGATAATAATTAGGGAATTTTATAATTTTAAAAAAAGTTAGTCTCTTTTTTAATTTTAAGTATTTTCTTAAAATTAAAAATTTGAAGAAAAATATGAACATTCTTAAGGTTAGACACCTACCTTGACAAAAAAATATTTAAACACCTAAACTAGAAAAGAAATATAGTTTGAATACTTTTCCTAAGATAAATTACACAAATAATCTCTTAATTATACGAAATTGTAATATAATATAAACTTAATAAAGCAGCTGTATAATCGATGTTCATTCGTATATTTTAACTTTTTTTTATTTTTTGAAACCTCGTTAAACCATTTCATCTTGGCTATTTTCCCGGTATATCACCGGTGATCAGTATTATTATCGATCTAACACCGGTCAGACTATATTTTCCGATCTAACACCCTTAGTAGAAAAGCGCGCCCCTTGCACCGCGCTATATGCTGATTTGGCGCTACGTGGGTATAGCTCCCCCTGATCCGCGCTATACCTGGATATCTGACATGTGGGGTATAGCGCGGTGCAGGGGGCGCGCTATACCCCTAATTACCAACCCTTCACGTCCCATCCTCCCTATAAATACCCTATCCTCAATCACTTTTATCACACCAAATTCTCTCAATTTCTCTAAATTTCTCTCAAATACTCTCTTTTTAAGATATATTTTATAATATTTTTACTATTATGTTTTTACTTTATTTAATATTTTACTAATATAATTTTTTTGCAGATATATAATGGAAGGCAATCTACTTCGCTCGGATGGAAATCATATATCTCTACACTTTGTTGATACAGTAACATTTTTAATGTTTTAATTTAATTTAAATTATTAGTAATATTTAGTTGATTTATTTAATGCATGATTATTAGATTAAGAATTAAATATCTCGACACTTTGCTAATACGGTAACATTTTAACGTTTTAATTTAATTTAAATTATTAGTAATAATTAGTTGATTCATTTAATGCATGATTATTAGATTAAGAATTAATTTTTGTAATTATTTATTTTTAGGAGAAGGATCGTGTATTAGATCCTTATTAGGAATCTTAAGTTAGTGATACCCACTGATCGCATGCTCCGGCAGTTTGGTTGTTTTCAACCAATTCCGGAAACACCTCGCAATATGAAGGAATTGCATAGCTTAGATAGACGCGGCAAGACAGATACAAATTGGTGGTGAGGCATCATGGGTGGGTCGTGTTGTGGGAGGATCGACATCGGCACCTTCTCCGTAGAGAGCCAATTTTTGATGACCTCTTGATGTATGCTGAGGATTATTATGAGTGGTTCAACAGTAACGGGAAACCGTTTCTACTACCTGAGGATGCACGAGGGCAGACCTTTCCACGACGTCGATAGAGACGTTCACCGACACAGCACCATCGTCCCCCGACTCGTGGACGGAGAGCAGGTGCTTCCGGTTCATCCTCAGCTGCACCAGCAGGACCTTTCCAGCAGCCACCGCAGCCATATATGATGCTGTCATCGCCTTTCCATTACCAGATGCCGCCGCCGCCGCCTTCACCTGGTTTTATGACCTCCGCCACCGCCACCGTCACAGATGACCCCTCTGGAGGCTATTATGGGTCTATGTTTGCAGATCCGACTTGGGGTTCATATACTGGATATTTAGCGGGTTCATGTTCATCACCCATGGCCGCAGCACAAACACCTCTTGTACAGTTTTCACACTCAGCGATGTCTAGGTTTTCCCAATTTTTCCTGTTTTCGCATGCCGATGGGATAGTCAGTCATATACCTTCATGGTCCTTATTCTATGGAGGTGCTTCATCGTCATCAGCTCCTCATCAACCTGATGTACCTGCTCAGGATGACGACGACGACGATGACGACGATGGTGACGACGACGATGGCGATGATGATGACAGCGAAGAGTCAGAACTAGTGATACGAAGAAATCCTCTTCGAGACCGACAGCCACCGCCATGCGAAACACATTCGCGACGCAGGAGGAGTTAGAACAATAGCTGAAAGTCGCGTCATTCTTTGAGTTTAAAAGTGCGGCAATATTATATCTGCAAAAAAATAACTTAAACAAACCTGATTAAATAAATTATATATGAACGAAAATATAACACAATAAATTTTTTACACATCAATGTAAATAATTTAAATAATATAATTTTATATTATTACCTGCACCGCAAAACTATTTCGACGTATGCTCCCGCTTTTCAATTTTACAAACATAAAAATTAATTGAAAATAATTAGTATAATATTTTTTCAAATAATGATAATAAACAATAAGTATAATTAAAAAATTATAATAAAATTACCTTATAACGAAAAATTGCACGAACTTCTAAATTAAATTTGAGAAGATTGCGAGAATTATTACTCGTTGACGGAATTGTTGTATTAATTTATAAGAGAGGAGAGATGCGAGGAGATGTGAGCCGGAGGAGTGTATTTATAAGCATATAAGGCGCGGTACCTGCATCGCGCTATGATAAAAGATATAGCGCGGATCAGGGACCGCGTTAAATATAATTTTGGTACAGCGTATAACGCGCCCCTGATCTGTGTTATACCCCTACGTAGCGTATAGCGCAGATCATGGAGCGCGTTATACTCACGTGACGCCAGATCACCGTATATGACGGGGCAGGGACACGCTATACTCACGTGACGCCAAATCAACATATAACGCGGTGCAGGAGGCGCGCTTTTCTGCTAAAGGTATTAAATCAAAAAATATAGTCTAACCGATGTTAGATCAATAATAATACCGATAACCGGTGA